CCTCTGTCCCCAGACGTCTGTTGAGTGTTGTAAGAAGAAGGGGGGATGCCACACAGTGGTAAAAATGGACTTGTCCCAATTTTTTTGTGATTTGTTGACGCCATGAACTTCGTAAACGACAGATTTTTCCCTTAAAATGATACATTCTCTCAGTTTAAAATTTTGATCTGTGATTTGTGTTCTGTTATGAATAAAATATTAGATGTTGGCACCTCCTCATCATTGCATTCAGTTTTTATTCACAATTTGTTTAGTGTCCCAACTTTTTTGGAATCCGGTTTGTAGGTGCATGTCCATGTTTCCTACTGTGAAGCATCTCCTCTTCTTTTAGTTACCATTTGTCCTGAGGATAGGACTGGGCGATATCTTGATATTGTCAAAATATTGAGATAATTTCATTTGCAATATAAGATGAGACTATATCGATATAAACGATATAGTGTTACGTATACTTGAAAATCCGCCTGCTGTTTTCTCTTTCTCCCACATGGCCCCTCCTCTCCCTCTCAACCCGCTCCCCATTTCCTGCTTCTCCTGGTGTGACAACACGTAGCATTGGCAGAACAGCTTGTGAGCAGGGGAAAAAATAATGGCTCTGTTATTTGGAGATGGTTCAGATTTAATTTGTCAGATGTGCAGCAGGAAAATGTTTTCTGTAGACAATGCCAAAAACAAGTCCCGACGAAAGGTTTGAGCACAACAAACCTTTTTCTCCATTTAAAACTGCGCTATAAAGTGGAGGATAAAGAGTGTGTTAAACTTCGTGCTGCAGCTCTGGCTGTGAAATCTTCCCAGGTTCCTTCCCTGAAACAAACTATGGTACGAAACTCTTTTACCTGTGCAGTGCCTTATGAAAGGAACAGTGAGGTGGCATGAGATTAATAAAGCAGCAGCTTTTATCGCTAAACACACGGTCCCAGCCTCAACTGTGGAACAAGACGGCTAAAGTTAGCTGTCTTATTAGCCGCTAAGGACTGTGTCTTTAGCAATATAATAAGCTGCTGCATTATTAATGTTGTGTCACCCTTCACTGTAAGACTTGAAAATCTGTGTACAATAGTTCTCCTTTTTCTGCCCGTCCAACTTCACGCGACCCCCTTCTTCTCCCTCACTGAATACAAGCAGCCCCTCTCACTGCTGTTTCACACAAGCTGCTTAACATCGTGAAGGCAGTGCAGCTGGGGAGGATTATTATTTAATATATAATAATATAATAAATGTCTAAAAAAACAAACTTTAATATATGCAAATAGTTAATTTTTTTTAGACATTTATTTTGTACAGTTAATAAATATGCCTATGTGACAATTGGGACAAAGCTTTGACTCAGAAATATACTTTTGTTATTATTTTATGGAAAGAAAAAAATATTGAGATATATTTCGGATATCTCAATTTATCTTAAAATATTGAGATATTAATTTTGGTCCATATCGCCCAGCCCTACCTGAGGAGACCAGTTGTTGGAGTATTTGGAGAAGAATGTTGTCTCTTTCTCATCCGATGGAGGATTTTAGCTGTTCAAAAGTCCAGCGTCTTTATTGCCGAGTTATTAAAAAAAATGCAACCCCAGGTTGATTAGCTAAATAGTGCCGATTGTAGAACAAGAGCTAAGGAAACCAGCAAACACCATTCAAGCTCAACTCCAAGGTCAAGGTGCCTCACTTTCTAATTTTAGGTCTTAGTGTGAAGGAAAATTATTGTTTGTTAGTAGTGAGTAGTTCAGTTATCTGGGAGAGACTCAGAATAAAACCGCTGCTCCTTCACATCCAGAGGAGCCAGTTGAGGTGGTTTGGGCGTCTGGTAAGGATGCTCCCATGGCGCCTCCTCAGGGGGGTGCTTCAGGCATGTCCGACTGGAAGGAGACCCCGAGGAAGACCCAGGACATGCTGGAGAGACTATGTCTCTCAGTTGGCCTGGGAACTCCTTGGAGTCCCTCCCAGAAGAGCTGGAAGAGGTGCTGTGTAAAAAGATGTCTGGGCCTCCCTGCTCAAGCTGCTGCCCCAGCAATGCAACTTCAGAACAAGCGGAAGATGATGGATGGATGTTAGTAGTGACTGATGAAAAATATTAAATTGAAGCTACCATCTACTTTGTCCATGCACTTTTCATTTATTTAATTACATGAAATTGTTATTGAATCAATAATCAAAGGCAAAATGTGACCTGTTAAATAAAAGCAAGAGATGTCCTAAACTTTAGCCAGTGTTTTTGGTTATTGTAGATGGGTAACAAAAAAGTTGTCCGTGTCTGTACACCTTAACTTACTAGGGCAAAGGAGATGGACAATCACATGAAATGATTTATTTGTCAGATTTTATATTGCTAAAAAGAAGTTGAACCAAAGCATATGTAACTTAATGATTTTAGGCCTATTGCCATAACTTCCATATTATGCAAAACGATAGAGCAGTTTCTTGTCAGTCATCTGGCCAATTTTGTGGCCACTGCTTTAGACCCACTCTAATTTACATACAGAAGCAACAGAGGCACTGATGAAGCTGTGTTGACTCTGTTGAATATAGTTACAAAACACTGGATAAGCCCCAAAAGTTTTGTAAGAATTGTGTTTGTAGATTTAACTCAATGAAAACTCTTTAAAAAAAAAAAAAGAAAAAAGAGGATCATAGATCTTAATGTCAACTCAGGCTTGGTTCTCTGGATCAGGGATTTCCTATCATGTCATCCACAGAGGGTCTGTGGTGGTGGTAACATTTCTGATGTGTTCACGGTAAGCACTGGTTGCCCTCAAGGTTGTGCTCTCTCTCCTGTGTTATCCTCTCTTTTTACAAATTAATTTGTGATTAATGACCAAAGCTGTATTTTAATCAAATATGCCAATGACATGGCTCTGGCTGGACTACTAATGGAAAACAATCCCACAGGTGAAACTTCTTCTTTATCTTACATAAAGGCCCTGGAGACATGGTGCCATCAGAGTAAGCTAGATATTAATGTAGCCAAGACAAAATAATTAATTATATGCCCTAAGCAAGACCTTAAAGTGAAGCCAGTCTCATTCGATGGCCAACTTGTTGAAACTGTGGCAAATTTTAAATATCTAGGGTCATTCAGTCAGCTCCTCTTGGTTGAAAACACTTCGTATATATTTAAGAAATGCTCACAGAGACTATCTTTTAAAAAAACTTAATGGCCTTGGGGTTAGTCAGCAAATTCTAGAGCTTGTGTACAAGGCAGCTGTTGAGAGTGTTTTAACTTTTCACCTCCCTGCCTGGTATGGTCACCTGAGCTGTAAACTAAAAAACAAACTTTTCAGAATTGTTTCAATGGCAGGTAAAACAGTTTGGACACCACAAAAAGCTCTGTCAAATGTTGGCAGAAAGGACATGGAAGACGGTAAGAAATGTTTTAGCAGATAGCATCCATCCTCTTTTTCGTCAGCTTGAACCTCTGAGCTCAGGAAGGCATTATAGGGTCCCACTGGCAACGAAGAACATCTATAAGAAGTCATTTATTCAGAGTGCAATAACCATTCTTAACCAAAACAAATGATAACATTTACCTGTGGTATGCCAATTGTTTTATTCTATGCACAAATTGTTGATATTTTGATTGTATGAATGCGTTTTATTTTATGGTTGGAGAGCCTAAGGAAAATTTCCACCTTGGTAGACAATAAAGTTTTATCTTATTTTTTCTCATCTTATCTTATATAAGATGTCAACGAATATTGTTTGCTATAATAAAACAGCTTTAAGCAAAAATAATGGACTGAGGTTGACTAATTATGGGTTTCTCTATGGCCACTAATTAGTTTTAGAAATCAGGGTAGACAATAGCTGATATAAAACACAAAATCTTTTCATTTTTGGCCAATATATTTTTTCCATTTAATAAGAATATAACCTAACAGCTTAAAATAAATAAACATATATTTAACACTTAAAACTGTAAATCAAAAAGTGTTTTTTTTTTAGTAAGAGCACTTTTTGATTTGCAGTTTAAACTAGTGTCCAAGTTCTTTGGAAAAATAAATAAATAGTTAAGTCAGTAATAAATAATAATAGTAGGCAACAGTAAGGAAATAGCTCAATCAGCCAGTCGATTAATCGGACTATCTCTACAAGAGAAACTGAAGTGTACAATAAGTAAAAGGACGTGGTTCATACCTGCAGACATCTTTGTACGTCTGTATTGCAGTGTCCATGTAATGAGCTGGATACGGTCTGGGGGCTCCACCTTGCAGAAAGGCTGAAACTGCAGCCATTTCCTACAAATCAAAACAGAAGAAACATGAAAAAAACTGAACAGAGGAATCTAACATTTTAAACACAGAAGGTAAGAATAAGATTTTAAGTAGTATGTTACATCAGCTTTGTGCTGGGCTCGTCTCTGGTCACCATCCTGTTTTATAAATCTTTGATTTGTGATTTTTTTTTCTTCTGCTTTATAGTTTTTTTTTCTTCGTATGGGACAAATGATTTTCACTTAACTCAGGCTGCTTTTGTAGTGTTCAAACTACAGATAACGACAGATTTAGTTTTGCTTAAATGTTAGGAAAGTAGCACACATCATTGGTTTGAGTGGAAAGTTGTTCCAAATTGGAGAGTTTGGTGATTTTGTTCCAAGAGGAATTAAGTTTGGCATCTATCTCATATTTCCAGACCTTTGCAGATATTGTGTTTAATATGATGATGCATCTGAAACTTTTTCTTCAAAACTGAAAGTGAAAGGGTCTTTTAACTTGTTATATCTCTTCCATAACAAGAGTACTGCATACGCATCAGAGGTCCATCAACAAACATACAACAATCTATAGCAATGGCCTGGACAAGCAAAGACCTTGTATAACCTCTGACCTTGACCTTAGAGCTGAGCTGATAAGAAGATTACGTGACACGTGATTCAGTGGTGGTACAATTGTGTATCAAGTTTTATTAAATTATCTTCAGAAGATCAGAAATTATGGTCCAGACAAGCAAAGACTTTGTTTTAAATTTGACCTTAATTTATGACTTTGACCTTGAAGCTGTGGTGATGAAACACGTACCCGCCGCTGTATAAGAACGATGCATTAGAGTATGAAGTTTCATTAAATTATTTTGAGCAGATCAGAGATTATTGCTCTAAAAAGACAAGATCTTGTATAATATTTGACCTTGAAGCAGGGTGATGAAAACTATGTTTGTGTTTTTGTTAGATCGCACATTTGTCTACTTCTCATTATCTTGGTAGTCAGGGAGTGAGACCTCAGAAAGAGCTGCTGGGAGATTTTGATCGATGCCCTTTTTACACGTCCTCTACAGATGATTTCAAAGTTATGTTGGAATTTGGAGCATTGCAGTTTAATATGCAGCTCTGTTTATGTGCAGTGTGTGATATAAAACAGATAGTCTAACCCCTGCTGTGATTTCAGACAGATAGATTCAGTTTAAAATTTTTATCTGCTGGTATGAAACAGGAAATAAGTTTCACAGTCCAGTAACAACCCAGACTTCACAGGGCAGATAGAAAGGTGTGTTGTTGTTTTGTTTACCAGCGCTCCCGCTGCGTACAGCATGGCCTGGTCGGAGAGGAAGTCCTTCTTGGCAGTGTGGTAGCAGTTGTAGGCCAGCTCATAGTGCTGAATCAGGAAACACAGGTCTGCCATCTTCCTGATCTGCAGCTCTGGGGCTTCAGCAGGATATCTTAGGAAACATTTAACACCAACACTTCAGATACAGGAGAAGTCTCACATTCAGTCAAAGAACAGAGAAGAAAACGAGCTTACAGAAGGCCAAATGTACTCTTTGGTTCACTGCCGCCCTTCTCTGGAACTTTACCTCCGCCAAACCATTTCTTCGTAGCTGTGAACAGGGATCGACTCAGTCCCTTCCTGGAAATAAGCTGTGAATAATACAAACTGTTTGTAAGACAATCCATCTTTGAATTGAAGTATAAAGAAATGCAACAGGTGTGAGCTTTCAGTTCAGAAACGTCTCATCTCTGGAAGGAGGTTTGTAGATGGTCTTAACTTTGCAAGAAGCGTACTACTGAAGCAGCTCTAGACACATCTATGGTCAGATGAAATAAAAGATGAGAGAATATGATGCAAGAGTGGTATGTTTTGCTTTACATATGTCATTCTCAACTCACTCTCAATTAACTCATCCCCCAATCCAAGCCCTACTAATGTCTCCTAATATTTTTCTGAACAGTGCATGTGAAAAGTCATCATCAGTGACACACATGGGTGCATGCTAGGAGGATAATGAGGGGTGGGAGGATGCCTTAATAAATGCCTACATGTTAAGGTCACTGCTTACAAAAAGAAAAACTAAAGAATATAAAAAGTTAACTTGTTAACCCAACACAAACAACAGTTTTCAGATGATGTGCGATACCCAACATCATTATCAATGGATTACTTAGAGGCTTTGATGACGAGCTTTAGTTAAACGTCAGTAAAGAAACTTGTAGTTTTGAGATTATGAGGAGAAATCTGAGCTGTACAGTTGGAGGCGTACCTGGTCGTTGAGTTGTCTGATGTTTTTCTCGATGTGTGGCAGCAGGCCTCTGAAGGTGAATTCTTGGACAAACTGTCTGATGTGGTCGTGGTCGTTCAGCGTCAGACAGGCTCCATAGTTTCCTGGAGTCGTGGTATCCGAGTCCCTCGGACCTTTCCTCACCTCCGTGGTGACATCACCCAGAGAGTGGAGGCTTGCTGAGCTTGTGTCTGTGTCCAGCTGAAGAGGATGGGTCTCCAGACTACTGGACTCTACAGGTCCATCTTCACACAAGAACACACACGTAATCCATTTTAACACCTTATTTGAAAATGTCTTCATAAAAGAGCTTTCAAAGTAAAAGGCAGAGTTAGAAAAGCCGAAAACAATGAAAACTTTATAATAATGTGTACAATAACAATGATAACTGTATAAAATAAGCAGATAATGACCTCTGACCTTTCTCTGTTGAGTTTACTTCAGCTTCACAAACATTGTTCTCAACAACCACCGCTGGAGCCAGATCCAACACCTCCTGCAATAATGACCCCCATGTTAAGAGCACAATGAACAGTTTGACAAACTAACCAGCAGACTCAAACATGAGTCCAACTCTGACAGTAAAGATATTTTAAACAACTCAAGGTTAGGCAACCTCAGCACATGTATGGTTTTTCTCCTGGTACTCCCGTTTCCTCCCACAGATCAAAACCATGCATGTTAAGTTCATTGGTAACTTTAATTGTCCCAAGTTGTGAGTGAGTGTGAATGTTTTTTGTCATGTTTGTCTCTCTGTGTCCCTGTGATGGACTGGAGACCTGTCTGGGATCACACAGTCACTGCTGGAGATAAGACACCTGGACCCTCATGTACAGTGCCTTGTGAAAGTATTCGGCCCCCTTGAACTTTTCAACCTTTTGCCACATTTCAGGCTTCAAACATAAAAAGACATAACATTTTAATTTTTTGTGAAGAATCAACAACAAGTGGGACACAATCGTGAAGTGGAATGAAATTTATTGGATGTGTCAAACTTTTTTAACAAATAAAAAACTGAAAAGTGGGGCATGCAATATTATCCGGCCCCCTTGCGTTAATACTTTGTAGCGCCGCCTTTTGCTGCAGTTCCAGCTGCAAGTCTCTTGGGGTTTGTCTCTATCAGTTTTACACATGGAGCCACTGAAATTCTGCCCATTCTTCCTGCAAAACAGCTCGAGCTCAGTGAGGTTGATGGAGAGCGTTTGTGAACAGCAGTCTTCAGCTCTTTCCACAGATTCTCGATTGGATTCAGGTCTGGACTTTGACTTGGCCATTCCAACACCTGGATATGTTTATTTGTGAACCATTCCATTGTAGATTTGGCTTTATGTTTTGGATCATTGTCTTGTTGGAAGATAAATCTCCGTCCCAGTCTCAGGTCTCTTGCAGACTCAAACAGGTTTTCTTCCAGAATGGTCCTGTATTTGGCCCCATCCATCTTCTCATCAATTCTGACCATCTTCCCTGTCCCTGCTGATGAAAAGCAGGCCCAAACCATGATGCTGCCACCACCATGTTTGACAGTGGGAATGGTGTGTTCAGAATGATGAGCTGTGTTGCTTTTACGCCAAACATATCGTTTTGCATTGTGGCCAAACAGTTAGATTTTGGTTTCATGTGATCAGAGCACCTTCTTCCACATGTTTGGTGTGTCTCCCAGGTGCTTGTGACAAACTTTAAACAACACTTTTTATGGATATCTTTGAGAAATGTCTTTCTTCTTGCCACTCTTCCATAAAGGCCAGATTTGTGCAGTGTACGACTGATTGTTGTCCTATGGACAGACTCTCCCACCTCAGCTGTAGATCTCTGCAGTTCATCCAGAGTGATCATGGGCCTCTTGGCTGCATCTCTGATCAGTCTTCTCCTTGTTCCAGATGAAAGTTTAGAGGGACGGCCTGGTCTTGGTAGATTTGCAGTGGTCTGATACTCCTTCCATTTCAATATGATTGCTTGCACAGTGCTCCTTGGGATGTTGAAAGCTTGGGAAATATTTTGGTCTCCAAATCCGGCTTTAAACTTCTCCACAACAGTATCTCGGACCTGCCTGGTGTGTTCCTTGGTCTTCATGATGCTCTCTGTGCTTTGAACAGAACCCTGAGACTATCACAGAGCAGGTGCATTTATACGGAGACTTGATTACTCACAGGTGGATTCTATTTATCATCATCAGTCATTTGGGACAACATTGGATCATTCATAGATCCTCACTGAACTTCTGGAGTGAGTTTGCTGCACTGAAAGTAAAGGGGCCGAATAATATTGAACGCCCCACTTTTCAGTTTTTTATTTGTTAAAAAAGTTTGACACATCCAATAAATTTCATTCCACTTCAAGATTGTGTCCCACTTGTTGTTGATTCTTCACAAAAAATTAAAATTTTATATCTTTATGTTTGAAGCCTGAAATGTGGCAAAAGGTTGAAAAGTTCAAGGGGGCAGAATACTTTCGCAAGGCACTGTATCATCATTGTGTACAGACAAAAAGGTTGCGTCCGCCATGGTTCCACACAAACATCAAGATAAATTAACCATTAGTTTCATGTGTGAATTGTATGAGGGGCACTTCTGAGCTCATTGAGAAGATAACAGTGTCTTATCACATTACCATTCAGAACAAGTAATTTCTCAAGTTGACAAGGTGTAAACAATGACACATGGCCATAAATAGCTGCATAAATTGTGAGTAATTGTGAATAATGACAGCTGAGGCTTCTGAGAGACATCACCAATAGAAGTGTTTTCGGGGATCACAGCGACCAAATACTGATCAGGTATTTCTCAATCATCTCTGAGCTGTGCCCACTAGATGGGACGGCCTCATCCATATGATGCCCAGTTATACAACATTTCCCTACAAGGTGAGTGAAACTCTGATGTGCTGAAATTGATGTTCAGTGACTTGTTTCTTTACATCAACTATTTAATAAAAAGTCTCTAAGGGTGCATTCACACTAGCCCTGTTTAGTCCGCTTTAATCGAACTCTAGCTCGTTTTCCTAGAAAGTCAGGTTCGTTTATGGAGGTGTGAAAGCACCATCGAACTCTGTCACGGAACAAAAAGGCGAATTCTGGCCCGGGCTAAAACCTAGGTCTCGGTCCGGTAGAAGAGAACTCCAGCGCGGTTCGAGTACAGTGTGAATGTAAACAGACCGGGCCCCGCTCCGCAGGACAAACAAACACGCATTTCTCTGACCTTATATGGAGCCGTCAGCTGACTTGTGTGGAAAAACAATATTCTCCATGGTCTTCTGTCTCATCTTCTGCTCATGCTAAGTCCATTTTTGAAAAATGACAAAATATAACTCCTAAAACTGCTAAAACTTGATGCCACTTTTTTTTTTTTTTTACAGAAGAAGGAGAAGACGTGTCTTCAGAGGTTTTTGTGTCGTTTCTTTCAGTAGTTCTTGGTGCAGCGAGCGGGGGAATAGGTTGGTTCAACAGGTTGACTCGACTGCACAGTGCAGTGTGAATGCAAACGCACCAGCTCACATGTAAACAAAAGGTCATGAATATTGGTCCCGAACCGAGTCTACCTGACTATGTGGTGTGAAAATGACCTAAGTTTGACCAAGCTCCTGGGTGTCTGTGTGTTTACAATAATGATGTTATTAAACACCTGTGTAAAATTGGAACAGCCTCAGAAGTGTGCTGCCAGCAGGTCAGCACCCGCCCATTCAGATAATTCAATGACAACTTTCACAATCACTTCTCTTTGTGAGGCAAACAATGTTTTTTTACACCCCAGATTATTTAGACTCTGACTCACACTCCATTAAATTCCTAATTTTCCTGCATCTAAACATCATTTTAGTCACGCAGAGAGGAGAATCACACATGCAAGACACATTTCCATCTTTTTTTGGAGGTGTGTCAGGGGAGGTGTCCCAAGTGTGCTCAGTTCCACGTTTGATGAGGTGTATGAAGGAAGATGCACAGAAACACACAGTTTGACAAATCTGAATATTTTGGGGCACACAGTTTTCTCATTTTTGTCCCATAGGCATTTTTCAGTATGAAAGCTCTTCTATAAGTACCCAGCTGAATCTGTAAAATTACCTGTATTACAGTCATCTTTGTGTAGGCTACAATTGATTAGCTATGGAGGCCATCTGGAACTGGACTGACACCAAATGTTACTTACTTTTTGAGATTCATTAAGATCTGTTCAGTAGTTCAATAGATACGCTAGCAGTACAAAAAAACAAACACACGCCCAAACAATTACAGGTGAAAATATAATTGCCTTTTCTCCTTTGGCGATCCCTTAAAAGTTACAGGTTAAAGTTATGTTGCAGTGTTGCGGTACCACGATCAGCAGTTCTCAAGTCCTCACCTGGTTCCTCTGGTTGCTCCTGAGCAGGTACTGACTCCAGGGGTCGGGAATCTGTTCATCCTGTTCTGCGGAAATGGTCCGGGAGTTTATCTTCAACAGATAACAGCCATGAGGACCGTACCTCTGTTTCATGTCTTCATAAACCGTCTCAGCCCTGCAACAGAACAGAACACAGGTTCCACCATCATCCATCCAGCCATTTTTTTTACCCACTTTTCCACACAGAGTTGCAGAGAAGCTAGTGCCTACCTCCAGTATTCATTATGTGAGAGGCGGGGTTATCTCATGAACCACCATGATGCATGCTCAATAATCCAGGTAAATAAATCTAACACGACTGAGTCAGGCCCTCTGGACAGATTCTTCTTTGTTGAAATGTTTTGTCTTTTATCCAAAATATTTCTTCAGTCTAAGGAGCTGCAACTTAAACAGGTTAAGTTAGTGTTAGGTTAAGTTAAACAACTTAAATGGGGCGGAGGCCTCCATGTTAAACTGTCACCCTCTTACAATGCTGTTATTGAATCACTCAGTCCTCTGTGAATAGCAAGCAGCCATCAGGGCACTGACAACTAATTGTTAGGCTGACGGTCCTCCTTTTTACACGTGAACAGCTAGTTTTGGATGTCACCAGCAAACTGGTTGATGCACTAGAGAGGGTGCTGTTTATAAGACTGAGTTTGTTGCAGATCCTCAGACTGAAGAAGTCTTTTGGATAAAAGACGAAACGTTTCAACAAAGAAGAATCCGTCCAGAGGACCTGACTCAACCTTGTTGGAATAAACTCTCAAAAAGTAATAAAAAATAAAAAAAAACTACAAACTGTTAACTTGTTAAAACATTTCACCAAAACTGTTGTAACATATCCCTTATTATGACCATCTTAGTTTAAAACTCTGACATGAAGGTGATATGTATTCCCTACTAGAATACTAGGCTTTTAACACAGTTCCCATTAGAAAGTACTGGAAACAAGACCTAACAGAAAACCACCATGCTAATAATATACCAGTAACCGGCATCACCTGTGCACAGCATTGATGAGTTCATTTATTTATTTATTTATTTTTGTCAACCACGGCTTCTTCAAATGCTAAAGGACCATATACACACATTGCATAGTGTCATTGAATAGGTATGATACTGGGATCGATCCATACAAGGTGGACAAAACCAAAATGTGTTGAGAGTTGGACTTGCTCCTGGCGGTCACTTACTTTGATATTGTGAAATATCTCGTTCTTAAGATAAGTGCATACACTATGCAGGAATTAAGTGCATTAAAATCTTTGGCAATTTTTAACCAAAGCAAGAGTAGTTGAGTGAAAGATGAAATTACTGAAAACAAACAACACAGTTCTGGGTAAAGACACAGCGTTTGTTCTTTGTGCACCATTTTAACTGAAATATGTGCCTTTAGATGTTATGCCAGGCCAGTACTGTAAAAAATAATTTGTTATTAGTGTTTATGCCTGGTTAAATACAGGTGAAATAACAAAATGTTATGTGGGTTTTAGTTCTTGTTGCTAAATTCACACATTACACTGTATAGTCTCAGGGCACTGACCAGAAACATTCACATAATACCAAAAAAAAAAAAAAAAAAATTAGTTACATTATTTATCTAAAGAAGTAAACCAGCAGATTGCGTTGAAAATACATGATCAGAAATCACAAGTTATTTGCAACCAACATCAGTAGAAAATTGACAAGATTTATTACACTTCACAATTCATTATCGACTGCTAATAAAGTGTTTGGAGTAAATCTTGCAGTTTCAGACAGCTTGTCTTTTCTGTTGATGTTTTTGATAATGATATTGGCAAGCCACACTTGTTGGTGCCCAACACTGAGTTGCAAAGTTTGTTTGCTATGCTTTCTCAGTTTCAGGATATAATAAAAAAAAAATTAAAAAAACTTCCCTTTCCTAGTTTATCTATTGCATTTTATCGACACTTTAAAAATCACCATGGTGGTAATGCATCCTGTGGTACCTTTGTTCGTCCCCCTCGCTCATGTCATGCAGTAGGACATAGTACTTGAGTGTGTTTGGGATGAACCACTTGGGATGGGTGTAGTCTCCACTGTGCTGGACCCGGTGCTGCTCCTGGGACAGCTTCAGGAACTGCTCCAGAGGGACCGCCTCAGTGGAGGAAACCACCAGCAGACCTAAACCAGAACGTCAAGGACACAACAAAGATCCAGCAGCAGCAAGGGAAGCAAAGCAGGAAGCAGATTCTGCTGAGGTCACACTTCAGTTATGAAACTTGTGCTCGGATTACCAACGGCACACATGTTGGCTTCTCTTTCCATATCTTACTTCTTTATTGCAAACTTTTCAAACAGAAAAACTAGAGAGCCTTGGGAATGAGGCGAAGCATTTTCAAGAAGCAAAAGGAAGCTCAGGATTACCAATTTTTTTTCTATTTGCGAAATGCCAGAATAATTAGTATGAAAATGGTTTTTAAGGCAATTTTATTACTTTCTTCAAAGTCAAAAGTTTAAATACACTTCATTAGTATTTGGTACCATTGCCTTTAAACTGTATGACTTGGGACAAACGTTTTGGATATCCTTCCACAAGCTTCTCACAATAGCTGGCAGGAATTTTGGCCCATTCCTCCTGACAGAACTGGTGGAACTGAGCCATGTTTGTAGGCTGCCTTGCTCGCACATGCCCTTTCACCTTTGCCCATAAATGTTCGATAGGATTGAGATCAGGGCTTTGTGATGGCCACTCCAAAACATTAACTTTTGTTATCCTTGAGCCACTTTATAACCAGTTTGGCAGTATGCTTTGGGTCATTGTCCATTTGGAAGACCCATTTGTGCCCAAGCTTTAACTTCCTGTCTGACATCTTGAGACAATGCTTCAGTATTTCCACATAATGTTCTTTCCTCATGATGCCATCTATTTTGTGAAGTGCACCAGTCCCTCCTGCAGCAAAAACAACCACACAACATAATGCTGCCACCCCCATGTTTCAGTCTGTATGGTGTTCTTAGGCTTGCAAGCTTCCCCCTTTTTCCTCCAAATGTAACAATGGTCATTATGGCCAAACAGTTCAATTTTAGTTTTGTCAAACCACAGGACATGTCTCCAAAAATTATGGTCTTTGTCCCCATGTGCATTTGCAAACATTAATCTGGCTTTTTTTATGTTTCTTCCTGGCAGAGTGGCCTTTCAGCCCATGTCGATACAGTACTTGTTTCACTGTGGATAATGACACACTCTTACCAGCTTCAGCCAGCATTTTCACCAGGTCTTTTGCTTTTGTTCTTGGGTTGATATGCACATTTTGGACCAAAGCGCATTCATCTGTGAGACACAGAACCCGTCTCCTTCCTGAGTGGTATAATGGCTGGACATTCCCATCTTGTTTGTACTTGCATATAATTGTTTGTACAGATGAACGAGGCACCTTCAAGCATCTGGAAATTGCACCCAAGGATGAACCAGACTTGTGCAAGCCCACAGTTCTCTTCTAGCTATGTTGGCTGATTTATTTTGACTTTCTCATGATGTTATACAAGGAAGCAGTGTGTTTCAGGTGTTCCTTAAATTACATCCAGAGGTCTGTCTCTAATTAACTCAGAAGCTTCCAAAGACATGACATCAAATGTCCCAAATTGTTTAAAGGCATAGTAATCTCAAGTGCATTTAAACTTTTGATTTTGAAGAAAGTAATAAAAATTGCCTTAAAAAATTCTCACTCTCATTATTCTGGCATTTTGCAAATAGAAAAAATGTTGGTAATCCTAACTGACCTAAAACGGGAAAATTTTATTCCGATTTCACGTCAAGACAGTGTGAAAAATAAATGCATTTTTTTTTTAAATAGTGTATGTAAACTTCTGGTTTCAACTGTAAGTGTGCTTTGATTGTTGTAACTTGTCTTAATCTGTATTGTGGTCTCTCTTTCCCAGAACACTATTGAAAGAGACTTATCTTGAACTTTGTCCTGGTTAAACAGAAGTAAAATAAAAATAAAAGTAAATATGTTTAATCTGCAATGGACCACTGGACTGAACCGGTTCAAACCCTTCAATTAGGATACAGGCAAGGTAGTGATTCAGGAACTCGTGGTCTAAGGCCGGCATCGACTGCAGAAAGTTATCCCTGTAGGCTTCAAACCAGGGCGTGGTTACTAGAAACAAAAAACAAAATAAACTGTTTCATTTAACAAACACTATTCAGACGTCACTGCAAACAAAAGATTGTGCATGTCTGTAAATAAACCAAAGAACAACAAAAACTAAACATGACACATCTGTAGCGCACAACCCTCTCTAATGGATAATAGAATAAAAACCCTGACAATTACATGTAAAACAGCTCAGCTTTAAAAACAATCCAACTTTTTTCAAAAGTTACTGCTGGATTTGTTTCAGTTAAAAATGAAGAACTCTGTTTACTCGATAACTACAAGTTTAAATATATATCACCTCAATATCCATACTGCTTTAAACTTATTTACATACAACGAGAGTCCATTGTAGAAAGTGTTTAAAAACTTTTCAAACAAAATGGTTCCGACTCCAGTTCTTACCACTCAGGTTTAGGGAATAGTCTCCTGTTTTAACAACGGTGGCCTGAGCACCCTCCTGTGGCTGAAAGGACAGGACCACCTCACTGAGCATCCGGTACTGAGCTGGGCTCAGAGAGCCAGATGTTGGAACTGGGCTTGTGACCAGGTTGTTTACACAAATACGCAAGTTTTTCACCGTCTGCAGCTGGTTGTTGGGATCCCGGATGTGCCCTACAAAACAGAAAGCACTTCTTTAGTCTCTGCAGTCTCACAAATACAGAAAACAACAGGCTAGTGTGCATGGAGCTTTCTGATGGTCATGAGGGTTTTGCTAAAACTGAGGCTTCATCCACACGGAAAAGAGTTTTGTGTTCACATGACAGTTGTTTTATTGTTTCAGCCTAGCGTCCACATGAGAATGCTGTTTTAGGAGTGACTAAAAAACATTTTAAAAAAGCTTTTGAAACATCAATCGTGTTTTAGTGTGGACAGCCTGAACAAATTGGAAACCCTGACATCATAGCCCACCTCTAACCTAACGCATGACCCCGAGCGTGACAAATGTATCGATAGTAATGATGAATTTACATGCGTTTGTTGTGCTGCAGAAACAGGGCTGCACAGTATATGAAACATTTATATCCATCACAGTCAGTGAGCACAATAAATCAAGGACCTTTATAGCTCAAGCACCATGCCTTCATGTTCTGCTATTAATAACATAACTGGTCAACTCATTCTGACTGGTTTTGATGGTGATGGTAACAGAAGAGAAAGTGAGGACTCAGGAGTAAAGAAAAGAAGGGGTGTATAAAGTTTTAAAGTTCTGGTGTACCTTCTATACACCAAAGTAATTAATATATTAGATTTGATGCAGTTTGCTTATAAAAGTGACAGAGGTACTGAGGATGCCGTTAGTCCTGCTTGACTCTGTTTCAAAACAGCTTGAGCTTACTACTGTAGTCTACGCTAAAGTCCTATTCATAGACTTCAGCGCAGCTTTTAATTCTATAAAATTACATCTTGTTCTGCAAAGTTTGACTAATCTCAATGAAGAAAAGGGCTGGATTCTCTAGAGTGGAGACTTTCTGTCTTAGTGCCCTCAGAGAGTACGTGTAAATGGTAGTTTGTTAGGAGTGTGTATATTAAGGACTGGCTGCCCAAGGAAGCACCCGTTCTCCCTTGTTTATTTCCTTATTTACAAATGAGTTTGCTTTAAACAATAATACATTCAAATTAATTAAATATGCAGATGACATGGTACTAGTTGCCTGTACATGTACAACAATACCTTACCAATCATGCAGTTATTTTTTGGTTCAAGTACTTATTTATTTATTTTCAAATAGAGCGACCCTGGGCAGCACGGTGGTGCAGTTGTAAGAGCTGATGCCTCTCAACGAGAAGGTTGCCCTGGTTCAAATGCTGGCCTGGGGACCTTTCTGGATGGAGTTTGCATGTTCTCTTCGTGCATATGTGGGTTTTCTCCAGGTGCTCCGATTTCCTCACACAGACCAAAAACATGCATGTTAGGCTGATTGGTAACTAAATTGTCCTTAGGTGTGAGTGAGAGAGTGAATGGTTGTTTGTCTCATTTGTCTCCATGTGTCCCTGTGATGGACTGGAGACCTGTCCAGGGTGTCCCCCACCTCTCACACAGTGATGGCTGGACATTGGCACCAGCGACCCCCATGACCCGAATAGGAAGAAGCGGGTAAAGATAATGGATGGATGGACAGAACAACCCTCATAATGTGTTTTTGCGTCTATATAACTTTGTTTTATTCAAAAGGTTGATATTTAAACAATAGGAACACATGTTGGCTTCATACGGTTACAACCAAACCAAAATTTGGATCAAATTATATGTTGCTGACTGAATGATACCTTTTTAAAAAATGTTTGTTTGTTAAGATGAGTTGGCTGTCTTAGGTTAGGTTAAATGCAAAAGTTGTAGATGTACAGCCAATATTATTTTCTGCAAGTTACATTAGATAATTGGATGGAGTTTATTTAGTAAAAATAATGCATATACATATTAGTGCATCCACTAAACTACTTGGATCACAAAAGAAAGTGAAAACGCTTCCATTGTGGTCCAATAATTTATATTGTGGTAACAAACTCTCACACACGAACAAAACAATAATTACGGTAACAATAATTAACTGCGTGTGTATACTGTATATTACGGTATATCTGTCAATAAGCAGCCGGCTAATGCTAATACCTGCTTGCAAACAAGCAGTAAACCTTAGAACAGCTTCAGTTCGAACAAATACCATCCAACAAAGGCTTCCCCGTGTCTGTTCGTGAAACGGAGTAGAAAGTGAACAGTTACCTTCAGATGTCAGTCTGCAGAAAGGCCTCAGCAGCTCAGCAAAATTCAGATTGTTCTTGCGAGATACCGTCTCTGCTTCAGGGCTGCTTAAGACGGCTACCATCGGGACAAAAGAGTCCTGAGTGAACTCCTGTACGGACTGAACACATTGAGCCATGTCGGGACAAACAAAAAAAATCCTTCTTCACTACAAACTCGGGCGGACTTTCTCTTTTCCTGCTCCAAAACTTGACAAATTTAGCAGGCAGCGGCCATATTGGAACTTCCTACCTTTTTCCTGTCAAGACCCTTGTCGTGATAGGGTTGCCAAACAAAAAAAGACGAAATAGTGTACAGTCCGTTTCAAATTGCAACTGTTTTTTTTATACCCAAATTGTATGTGCTAAGTAATTGAGCACATTCTCGCATATTTTAAGGAGGATGGTAAGACTATGTACGTATCTATTTTTATCTGGGTTTTTAATAAAACTTAATGTACCATTTATTGTACATCGTCGGAACAATTTCGTATGAACACGAATTTGTATAAATACGAATTATTCTAAATCTGGCAACACTGAAAGTCAGACGACGCAAGTGTGGTGACGTAATATCTTTGTTTTTTTGGTTGTTTTTTTTGCCAGTAGAGGAGGCTGCAGTATATCCATCCAGCCAGCCATCCATTAATATATTCATTCAACATTTATTTAGACAGGTTAATCCCATTAAATCTCAGGGACTCATTTACAAGAGAGACCTGAATATACCCTCTTCTTATCCTGATGCATGCTCAATAATCCAGGTAGAAAAATCCAAAAAAGTTCAATCTGGTCCTCTGGACATTCAAAAAAACCAAAAAACAAAACAAAGCAAAAAAATATAGAAACGTTTTGTCTCTCATCCGAGAGACTTCCTCAGTCTGAGGTGCTGTATTCAGCTCAGTCTCTTAAATAGCACCTTCTCAGAGTGGATCAACCAGTTTGCTGCTGACAACCAAAACCAGCTGCTCACATGGTCAAGAAGGATCAGCCTTCTTGACCATGTGAGCAGCTGGTTCCCAATGTTGTGTAAACAATGTTGTCGTTTTTCTGTCTTGAACTTTTTTTTTAATCCATCCAGAAAGGCCAGGAATCGATGCAGTAACCTTTTTTCTGAGAGGCAACAACTCTATCAACTGTGCTACCATGCCACCCGCTGTAGTCTCTCTCTCTCTCTCTCTCTCTCTCTTTCTCTCTCTCTCTCTCTCTCTCTCTCTCTCTCTCTCTCTCTCTCTCTCTCTCTCTCTCTCTCTCTCATACACACACACGCACACACAAACACATATATATATTTATATATGTGTGTGTGTGTGTGTGTGTGTGTGTGTGTGCGTGTGTGTGTATTAACCGGATTCCAAAAAAGGTGGGACACTAAACAAATTGTGAATAAAAACTGTATGCAATGATGTGGAGGTGCCAACATCTAATATTTTATTCAGAATAGAACACAAATCACAGATCAAAAGTTTAAACTGAGAGAATGTATCATTTTAAGGGAAAAATCTGTTGTTTCCAAATTTCATGGTGTCAACAAATCCCATAAAAGTTGGGACAAGTCCATTTTTACCACTGTGTGGTATCCCCCCTTCTTCTTACAACACTCAACAGACGTCTGGGGACAGAGG